ATTTAACATTCTATACTAGAAGCATACTTTTTTTTGTTAAAAGAGTCGGATGGAACATCTCATCCAACAGTTATACCAGCTCAACTAAGAATTTATTTTACCAATATGAAAATTGCTCAATTTTCCAATCTTTAATGAGAACTTGTTTCATAAGTATGAAAATTGTTCGATTTTGTCAAATCTTTAATGAACGTATAACAGTGCAAAATTTACTCTCTCGGTATGCTACAGGCCACATTCAAATTTTCTTCTTATTTTTTCAAGTGAAAAATGTGGACTTTTTCCAAATTCTCCAACCATAAATCCATTCATTCGCGAGCCTACTGAAGAAAAAAATCTATAACAACCCAATAACAACACGGCACCAAAATATCTCTCTCTCCCCCGCAAATCTCGCCCACCACCAATCTCCGATCTCCAAAAAAGACCCACTAATTCCCGTTTTGCCCCTCCCAATTCCCCTTCTCCATAGAGAGTAAACAAACATGAACCACCGGAGACCTTATCTGCAGTCGCCGTCGAGGACTCCCAAGCTCGCCGTCTACGGCCTCCTCCTAACATCACTCTTCCTCGTCTGCATCGCCCTCCTCAAGCACAAAATCCGACCCGACCCAAACATCGCCGGCCTCCGCGAGCTCCAGATCCGAGGTTGCAACGTCACCGACGAGAAGCGCCGCCTCATCGCCGGCCTCGAGCCGCTAATCTCCAAGGAGCCGCTCGACGTCTGGGAGGGCCTCGGCAAGGAGGAGAAAAACGTGAAGTACCTTCCTTCCCTGACCGGTCTCCCTGGGAAGGACCGGATCGTGTACATCGACCTCGGCGCCCGCGAGTACGATTCGAGCATCGGAAGCTGGTTCGTGCGGCAGTACCCGAAGCAGGGAAAGCCATACGTGGTCTACGCTGTGGAGGCCGACCGGTCGTTCCACAAGCAGTACGAGTCGCGGCCGGGGGTGACGCTGCTGCCGTACGCGGCGTGGATCCGGAACGAGACGGTGGTGTTCGGGAGCAAGCCGATAATCGTGAAGGACCGGGTGTGGCGGATGCGGCCGTTCGGGAGGATCGAGGGGGAGAAGGCGGAAGGGGACGGGCTGTCGGCGGTGGTGAGGGTGCCGGCGTTCGACTTCGT